TAGGAAGTCAACAAAAATCCATTCAATGCAGAAAGGACACTATTGTGCTAGGCCCTAAATGGGGGAATTGGAAAATAAAATCACAGCAAAACACATGGCTCCTATCCTCAAGGAATTCACAATCAATCAAATAGAAAGCAAAAGACAGGGATGTGTATATTCCAAATGAATAGGTAACAGTAACTACAATGGTCAAATAATAAAAAAAAATCTTACTGGCTCTAAACCAATATTCAAAAGACCAAAAAGAGGGGGTAGGGGAAGAAAAGAGAGAATAATTTGCACTTGAGACTCTTTTTCATAAATTTTCCTTTAAAATGGTTTATGTGGAGGCAGGTGTCCCAGACACAGAAGATGAGATGAAAAGGGTGATATAAAGATCACAAACGGGAGAGGAGAGCCCAAAGTAGAGAAGGTCAATATCACTTCTCAAGAAAAACATGAATGTTTGTTGGCCTGACCATTTTTTGAGAGAACCATTAAAATCCTTATAAGATCAACTGTTTTGGGAAAGAACATCAAAGGTTAAAAAAAAAGTTTTAATTTCCAATAAACTATTTTGTTTAAGATGCAGTGAAAACGAGATGAAGAGAAACACAAAAAGACCTTTCTTAGGAACCAAGTTTTGTTTGCATTACGAGTGATAATCACCCCAAGACATCTCCAGAACAATAATCTTCCCACGAGTATTACTCTCAGGTGCCCACGGAGGCTTCACATGTTTCAGGGCATAGTCACTGCCGTCCAGGAGCCAGACAGCTTCCCCCAAACTCCGCCTTACCATCAAATGACAGGAAAGCTGACAGTCAAGGAGATGCTTCACGAGGACCAAGAAAACCACGCAGCCATGTTACATTTATTGTTTTGAAACTCAAGCAGCAGAGCGACTTCAGATGAAAGATAGGTTACTGTGCAAACACTGAAGGGTCTATCATACTGCACCCTCAGAAAGGAAAGATAAAGATTATGAAGTCAAATAGAGTTCAATTCAAAACAGTGAAGTTCCAATCCCCATCTTAAAAAAATGAAAAATAGGAAAATAATCTTACTCAGTTTCATGCATGGTGACAATGGCACCTGCAAAAATCCTTAGTAAAGAACAACTTCACCCTTGAAGCTTTATGTCAGAACAAAACCACTTTACCCATACTGAAGGGTTTACAGGGGGATGAGCTATAACATTATGAGATAGCCTTAAGAGTTGGGGTGAGGGAGGAGGTTGTGCATCAAAAAAATTCAGCAAGAGTCCATTGAGAGCACCAAAGAAAGGAACAAGTTTGAGTGTTGCAAACTCTTTCTGCGACCCCTCTCATCACCGTCCCTCTGGCATTTTATTTCTCGGCAAGAAATATATTTTACCTTTCCGAGATTATTTTCTGGTTACAAGCCAACCATTATGAACCTTTCAGTGAATCACTGAATAGGGCACTTAAAGGGATAAACAATTATAAAAATAACTCTGTCACAAGTGCATACATTTTATTTTATTTAGTGATGTAATAAGCTTAGGGGCATATATCAGGTCCAAAATGGTCTTGGTCATTAATTTAAGCAATAAATCATAGGTCTTGCCAACAATGACGGCAAACAGATGCTAACAAGGAAATGTATTATTTAATATTGCCATGTGTTATAAAAATGTAAGTGTGTTTAAGACATGTCTTAAATTTTTATAATAATATGCATTTAATACATTACTGTTTTGACACAGGCAGGAATCAGATTTATAGGACCCATTCTGTAGCTTCTTCTGTGAGCATGAGAGCATATTCTTGATTTTTTTTTTTAACAAGACGGGAAACCTTTAAAGTGCATGCTTGCAACAATATCTAATTGGTTGTCTTGCTGTTTTGTAGTAAATAATGTCAACACTGAAACTCATTAAAAAGAACGAATCTGCACACTTTGCTGGAATATAAAAATAGAACACTTAAAAATTACAGGTTTTAAAGAAACCTTATAGCCAAAGAAAGTTTCTGAGAGCTTTTTAATCAAGTTGGCAACTGATTTTTTCACATTCATTTTGAGCTGTTCTGCATGACACCAGACAAAAATATACTAACTTGATTAATGAGTAATGTTCAACATTTAAAAATGTGGAAGCAACTAGGTAGAGAAAAATCCTACTTTGTATAGTCATTCAAATAAGAATCAAATAGTATCTCAAATCACAAACTAATTTAAAATTGAGTCTTTCTATTCAAGTTATGCCAAACCATAATATTTCCTTTTAGATCAGTAGGCTTATATCTCTTACCAGCAGGTTCAACCCTCCTAGGGGGAAGGGCTTGTGAAAGAAGAGAACTTTTTTTTTAAAAAAAGATATTTTTATATCAACAAGATGCCAACTCTGCTAAAAGCTTTTTTTTTTTTTATTTGCACAGTACTTTGTCTGAGTGTCCTTTTCAATCAACTCCCTAACGGCCAGCATGGTCTCCCCCCTTTCTTGTACAGGCAAGAGTCCATGCCTTAGAACACTTGAAGAAGCAGTGCTTGGAGTATGGAAACTAAATTTTCTTCATTAAGTCTACTGAAGCAGATATTAAAAATGCATTTAATATACTGGCGATGGTCGGTGGGCACCGCTGACTGTGACAGGCCGGTTACTGATGATGAGCCGTCAGATGGCCTTCTCAGCAGGCGCCTGGGTCTCAGGCTGCTGAAGGACAGCAATATCTTCCCTTGTGTGTAAGCTCTATTCATCTCCCAAGTATTTACTAAATCACAGGCCTTTGCACACACAGCCCACGTTTCGGTGTGTGCTAACGAATGATGGATGGCCTCGTCAATTCCTTATGTCCTGAAAGCATGGTTTCCTGCCATTCCAATCATCAAACCTCAGCGCTTCAGAGCTGATCAGTCCTGGGGAATATTTTACAGGCTCGATTAAAAGAGTTCAGTTCTTTCCATTAGAATCCCTGACTCTCTCTCCCAAATGTTTGTTGTTTCAGCCAATTATTTGGGCAGGATATTCGGTGAGTGTGCAGGCAATTTAACACCAGCAGATTTCTCTCTGATATTCGCTAAGGTATAATTTCATCTATGGCAAAATGGTTGATGCATTTGATAGTGAATTTATGCTTTAAAACAATTTCTTCCCATGTACATCAGGCAAAACCTTAAAAATATTTAATATCATAATATAATGTAAATACATTAGCAGATGCATTTCAAAGACACTTTCAAGGGAACAACCAGTCACGAAATCATCTAAACATGTTAAAACAGTAATTTGTGAGAGTTCTCTTAATTATAAACTAGGTAAAGGTACAAATGACTTCAAAATTCTTTGGATAGTTCCAAAGTTAGATGACAAAAGTTCAATTTCTCAAAGAAATAAGCCTCTTAAAAGAAGATATATTTTCAGTTCCAAGGTTATATATGCCAGTTGTCTTTTCTGTAAGCCATAAAAACATTTTTATTTTTAACTATTGGTTATCTATGGAACAGTACATAAGAGCACACTCATACCTTTCAGTCAGAAACAGTAAACTTTATACAGACAGATAAACTTACCACAACTACACAGATAGCTGAGCTTTGAGGATGGGGTGGCATTAAACAGCTAAACAACTTGCTATAAATAAGCTCCTGGAAATGCTAAAAATTAAAAAAAAGAAAAGTGCCAGGTTCCCATTTAGCCAATAGCTAGGTAGGCTCTGAAGTACCAATCAGCATAGGCTCCACCACCTTGCCCTGCCTTTCACCTCAACCTTGACCTCAAGATTAAGCTCACTTTTATTGCGCACAAAGGTCACCTGTATTAGGTCAAAATTCGAAGTCTCTTGTCATGAAAGGTTAATATATTCCAACCTTTCCTTCTTCATGCATCAAATTTTTCATGGTAAAGTCATATTCAGCAGACGGTATATTCAGCAATTTATTGTGCCATTGTAATACAGTGTAGAATACAATTGTCCAAAAAACTGTCACAAAATAAAATACTTTTCATGACAATGTACCAAATCTAGACTCCTTACACACCTCTAAGAGATGAAATACTACTAACCAAGTCTTGTTTCCATACTTCAGAAGAGTTATTTGGCAAATAATTCTCAAAATATTACCTGTAGTATAATTGTGACCTCTCCTTCCACAACTATTGTCTATAGGCAGCTATTTTTCAGAATGTCACTCAAATTTTTTAGTATTTTTTTTCGAGCACAAAGATCTCTAGCCAGTCTTCATACTTTCATTCGAATCCGGCCTAAGCAGCCTAAGTGAAATATGTCTAAACCTGAAAGCATCCCTTTGACCTAACACCTAGAGGAAGATACACTCCATAACAAACAAAATAGGAAAGGAAAGGGAAAATATTATTGCCTTGCCCAACTCATTATTATTGCAACTATATGATCAGCAGAACTGCAAAAATAAGATAAATTAAACAAATTCTTTGCAGGCAGCATTCTGGAATACACTGTAATTAATAAAAACCAAAGCCTTAAGGAACAATAAATCTATTTTCTTTTAAAAGTTCATACAATTTCTTTCTGTTTACCACAAGTTCTTTTCATAATCATTATTAATACCATGAACAGATTTTAAGAGTGTTTAAAAAATACTGGTTCTTCAAAAGTATTAATACCCATATTAAAAACTAAAATCAATGTTCACACTCATAGGATGACCTGGTGTCTTATAAAACCTCCATGCCCTGGAAGTCTTAGACCTAAATTCACATAATTATTGGACTCAAGCTATTTCCTGGTGGCAGAACCCTGACTCCAAAGCTGGTATTCACCCAAACATCTTTCATAAATTTGTAACCACCTTGTTATCAAGGTGAGGCAAGAAAGTAAAACAGCTTCTGGAATAAGGGGGCATTGCAGTCAGGAAAAGTAATTAGATAGGAAAATACTTTAAAATTCCAGGGTTTTCTCACTTGTTCTGTCTTAGGCAGTGATCTTGTTATATAACCATTTTCTATTGTGAGGGTGGAGTTGGGAGAATCAACCTAAACCTCAATATACCCATTTGCCATCAATGGAGTATCATACCTTGGTTCCCAGTACCAGCTAAGGACTTCACCATAATTTACTAAAAGTAGGTTTCCTGTTAACATGGGGGTAGAGGAAGAACACTCTGGAAACCTAGAAAATAAAGGGGCTTGTTTTAGAAAAAATCTTTTCAGTTGTAATATTCTGAGTCTAATTATTATAAGCATATATACCATTGCAATGAGCATCCTTAAATCAATAATGATAATGATAACAGAAGCAGTAGCAGCAAAAACTTATTCAGCACAACATCAGGAACTGTGCTAATCATTTCATATTGTACTAACTTACTGCAAGTTTATAACAATCCTATTTTATAAGTAAGGATGCAAAGGTACCAAGGGGTGGAGAAACTTGCCCTACATCACCCAGCAAGCAAATCATGAAGCCAGAATTCCTATTCTATTTTCAGAACCAAGTTCTTTACACCTATATATAAAATGGCCTTTACAACAACAACAAAAAAAACACTGAACAGGTCCTGGACTTCTCAGTAATAGAGTTTGGCCTCCTATTGATGCATAAAATAATCATCCATAAGCGACACAGCTAAATAAACCACCCAAGGTCAAACACAGGCTATGGCAAGTCTGCCAAACTCAATACCACCTGGCCAGCCCACTCATGTAGGCCTGTCCCTACAAAGAATTCCACTTGTCATTCTAAAATGCACCTAGTGTTGCCTAACATTGCTAATTTTATGGCCCATTTCTATCTTAGTTGTATGTTGTCATATTATTTTATTACCAATACTTTAAATGTACAAAAGAAATGCATCTGAACATGTGATGATTGAGTCTTTATAAAACTGCTCTAATACAAATTGTAATATGATCAATTAGGTATCTTCCATTGTTTTTCAGAGATGCTTCACAGAGATACTTTATTTGCTTTTTTACACTAGAGTAACTGCCAACTGAAGATGTAACACCTAAGTTGGAAGTTTCTCTAAAAGTAATTTCTGGCATGATAAACCCTCAGGTATACATACTATTGAAGTATTTCTATATTCCTACTGACTGAAGAATCACTATATTGTTCCCAAATTTATCAAATTAATCTAATTCAAAAGGGATTAGTTTTCCTAAGTGAGACATATGTATATGGCTTTTTTTCTTTTTTCTTTTTTTAACCAAGCAGCAGCTTCTTCAGGCCAGTTCAATCAATGCCTGCCATACTATGTGTTATAATACCTATAATATACTAGGTACTGCTAAGGCTCAAGACTAGAATTCTAGCCTCCACACTAACTACATTAGGGGAAATATATGTATCCTCTCTTTGGACAATAACAAAAAGGAGGAATCACAACACATAAAAATATTATAAGAATAAATGAGACACAGATAGAAGTATTTTGAGCCCTCTTCAGGAAAAAAACAATCTATAAAAATCAGAATAAACTGGTTTATGAAAATTCTGGAACAGGTAAGGCACGGGCCCATAAAGGAAATGCAAGTCTCAAGCTAGTGATCGTATGCAGTGGTGTGGGGAGCAGTGGTGTGGGGGAACCTGAGTTGGTAGTGTTTGCCAATTTCTGTGGTGTAAACACTCCCACCGTGGCTGATTTTAAGCTACTGAGTCAAGGTCACGGTTTGTAGAGTGGAGAAATGATGCTCACAATCAGCTCTCACAAGCTGGAAAGACACAGCTCCAGTCAGTACCCACTGGCTGTAGGCCAAATTCAGCCCACAGACTTGTTCTCTTTGGCCAGGAAACTGTTGGCCCACACATTGCTTTTAGAAATTCAAACAAATTGAAAACATTTAAAAGTCAGGATATTTTTTTCTTAAAAAGTCGGACCTAGAGCTGCTTTCTAGAGAACAGAAGACCCGGTAGCAATGGGCCCACAGTCCTGGATGGCAATACCTGGCCGGCATAAAACAGCAGCTGCTCTGCTGGTGTACACAAATGTACTTTTGCTTTGCCACAACCCCAGCCAAGCTAGCTTCATTCATTCACTCCTTGTCAATACCTCCTGGCCCCCTCACAATAGGAATCTGTGATCTGTAGTTAAAGAACATGAATGGAAATTTTGACTCTGGATGTGGAACCTCAGTCAAATCATCAGGTGACATTCCGCCCTCAGTTTCTGCATCTGTAACATTAATCAATTTGACTTGATGATCTCAAATTCCAATCTTGATCCAAGGCTCTAGAAGTCACTGAGTCTGAAACAATAAGAGAGGTATGAAGGTCCCTCTGGAGGCGTTTTTGTGATCACATGAAGAGTTCCATACATGCCTACCCAAGTGCAAACAAAAATTCAAAATGTTATAAGTTGGAGATTAAATGTATTTTCCCCTTAATATATATTATAGCTGGCTGCAGGAAATGAGAATCTAGATAATGTAAACTTTATCAGTTAAGAAATGATGTTTGTAAGCTGTGTGTCACACCTAGGTTGTAAGAGTCTGTGGGGTTTTTAATACTATACAATAAAGAGCCTCTTTCTTATGCCCAGTTCATTTACTCTCTTAGCTAAATGATGCTTGAAGTGCAAGTTAATTTCAAATTTTATTAGCTTTCCCTATCAATATTATTGGCAAAGACAAATAGCAGGGCAACATACCTTAACTAAAAGATGATGTTGCCTTGGGAGAGTTGTAGATTGAAACAGAATATTTTTTTTAAATGGAATTCATGTACGAGTGTACAAAGATGCAGTTAACAACACTTTACCCTCCCAGATCCCATCTACAAACAAGGTCACCTACAAAGAGCACACAAGTCTTAGATGCCATCTCATCATCAGTCCAAAATCTCAGGAGGCTAAGGTGTGGCACAGGCATGAGTGACAAACAGAGGTTTCACCTTCCATTTCTATTTATAATAAAGCTGGAGCTGGGTACCCACAGTACTGCTAGATTAAACATACCCAGTTTTATCTGAGAATAATCACAAGTATTCATGACAAATAGTAATTCATAAACTTACTGAGCATAAATCTGAAGCTTTCATATCAAGAGGCTGATTGGGTGGGCAGCACGTCAAACAGCCGGTAAGTGAGCTTAACCAAACACCTGGATCCAAATTTACAGACTTTCTATCCTACATAGTGCTAGTTGCGTATGTGGAGATTTTCAACAGTCTTCAGTGATAACCCTTGTAAATATCAAGAGTCTGCCATGTCTCCTACTTCCTAAAACAGGATTAAATACAACATCAGAGTCTACACCTCATCCTTTCTTGGGCCTGGAGCAAAGGACAGATCTCGACAATAACTAAAAAATTTTAAATGAAAATAAATGAGTTGGAGAGTTGGGGCACGGTGACCATGTACCACGTATTTTAAGTGTCCATCTTCAGTTTGACTTGTGCTTCCAGGACAACTGCAGAAAAAGACTGATTCACCCAGGATTGCCCCAGTTAGCAGGGACAGTGTTTGGTCAGGAAAAGACCCAGTATTTACATATTTGCTTCAGCAACAGTATCAAGATCCATAAAGCCACCTTACTTTCTTCCTCTACTTGTATGACTTTCTTTGTTTGAAAACATTTATTCCCATGGCCCTGAAGTTATACTCTAAATTTAACAGTTGCCAAACATTTTTAGCAACTGAATCTCAATATTTAAAATGCATACAAGAAATAAGTTCTGAGATATTTTAACATTCTCTTATCTCAATGAAACTTCAGGTGTTTGTCAGGCCACAGTTTGAAGGCCACACTAAATGTAAAAAAACAAAAGATTTTATTCACTATCCTGAAGCCAGAGGGACAGAAAGTACCCCACCCCCACCTCAGCCATGGGAGAGCACTTAAAGGAGCTGACATTGTCAAACATGTCACTGTTTTTTGACATGAAGAAAGCTTTGGGTTATAAGGAAGACCTACTAACTCTTAACATATATGTTATCAAGATGCCTCCCTGGAAAGTGAGCTGGAAAGAAAGGGGAGGGAAGAAAAATAGAGGCAGGTATTTAGTTCCCCAAAGTGGTCAGAAAAAGGCTGGATGATTCCTGACCAGCCTTGTGCCATCGTTGCTAGGGGAGGCACAGACTGCTCTGTGCTGGTTTCAAACCCATGGACCAAATGATGCTGGATCCAGTTCTGTCCTCATTAGACACTGAGCCTTCTCATCCAGCCACAAGCTCACCCACACTTTCAGTGCACCCACCATACACCAGCACACTGGATATGCAGTCTGACGGCAGAAAGGGACAAGAAGACAGATATCTTGGATCAGACATTTGAAAAAGTTTCCTTTCAAGAAAAATTGAAAATAAAATACAGGAAAATTTATTCTTTGCCCATCTCCCATTATGATTTTCATACCAGTACATGACTTCTATATATTCAGGTCACTTTTCATACTTACTCTGGAAAAGTATTTGTATATTGGTTGTTTTGTTTTTAAGGAAACTTCAACCAATATGGTAAAATCATACAAAATGTGTAATAAAAACATAATGGTGAATTCCATCAACATTTGTTGAAAGTCAAGTAATAAAATATTGATATTATTACCCTATACATCTATTGAACATTTTTCTCTTAGGAAAATATATAATTCCTCTTTATTGTACCAGCAAACATTCTGGTATGGATTATTACTTAGTCGACTCAAGTTTGATGCCTGGATATAGACTTGAAAATGAAGTCAATAATCTAATAACACAAAAAGTTCCCCTCACACTAATAAGAAATATAGTCAGCGTGTGGGTTCTTTGAGGTTTTCTTCAAGCACTGTGCTCCTTTTCAAGAACTCGAGCTCATCTCACTGTGCAACTCTGCAAATCCAAAGGAACGCAAATATCTGATAAAAGCTAAGCAGTGATTTTAGAAAGTGGATGTTCCATGTAACAAAATATATAACAAAATATATAACAAAATAACTTTCAAGAGTCTTTAAAACCTAGGCAGGGGGTGGGCAGGGGGGAACCCTAGGCTACAGTACAACAAAAATAAATACCTAAAATTTAATGGAATAAAAATCACATTTTAAAAAGATAAGGAGATAGATGAGATAGCAATCTTCTTAGGCCAATTTTTAGAGCAATTTCCTTTACATCAGTTTCTCTTCCAATTTGCTCTAATGATTGATACAGAAATACTTCTGTATATATTTCCTGAGTATATAAATAATACTTT